TCGCTCTATGTCTAATAGGGCCGTGTGCCAGTGCATATGGGGGTCGATTGGGGGAAAAGGGGTAGGGGGTGCTCAGCGGGCGAGTTGGGAAGAGGATCGAGAGGGAGAGAATTTCGTAAGCTCCGAGTTGGTAGTCATGGTGGGGGGTCAAACCTGAACCCAGTCCCCCCCCTCTCTCTCTCTCTCTCTCTCTCTCTCTCTCTCTCTTCCTGTTCGCACTCCAGCCGTAGCAGGGGCGGTGGCTGCGGAGGGCGGGTAGCGGTAGTGCGGCCGACTCTCCAGAAATGAGGCGTGGAGCCATCAGAAAGCGAATTCCAGCAGAACTGGAGCGAAGACAGGCCCAGGGGTGGGAGGATATATACTGGGAAGAGCAGGGAGGGGAGCGGGAGCGATGGCTGGAACTTGGACCCTTTGCTGGCCCAAAGCGTCCGACGGTGCTGATAATGGGGTTACACTAACAGACCAGCCCCATGTCATCGGCCTACGTATACTCTGCAAAGATTGTTTTAAAAATAAGTTTTTAAATAATTTTAATCGATATAAACGTACACGTTTTAGCATCAACGACATGTAACGTCGCGGCCGATTTTGCTTTCTTCATATTAATGAAACATTCTCCTCATTGATTTGTGGGGAATTTTTATCATCAATTATTCCCACCTTGGAGTACATAGTACCACCGTTGTCGGAATGCGTTCTCTTTCCCATCACTTATCTCCACCCTCCTCCCTCCCTTTCTCCTCTCTCTCTCTCTCTCTCCCCCTCTCCCTCTCCCTCTCTCTCCCCCTCTTTCGCTGTATGTAGCGCATAATCCAATAGGAGACTGATTGCTTTGCGATGGCAGATTAATAGGCCCAGCAGCCAATGGCATCGCTGCAACGTTTCGATCACGTGACAGAGCCCGAGGGGAGCAAAAGTGTTACATTCTTCCCTCCATCCCCCTCCTATATACCCTGCTTTTCGACACGCGGTACCACGACTCTTTGTTTACTGTTTTTTTTCCTTTTTGTTTTGCTTTGTTGATTTTTATCTTCTGCCACGGTTTTCTGTTTCATTTTCATAGCCTTTTCCGTCAATTCCTCAATTCCTCCCGCGTTCATTTGCCATTTTAACGAGGTTGGGAAAGGGGTCGGGGTAGACGGGGGAAGTGACGCTCGGGTACGACGGGCACAGCCAGGCAGCCAGGCGCTTGGCACTCGGCCTAAAAGGCCTCTCGTAGTGGTTTCCGCCGGTGTGTCAGTCGCTGCTACGCCACCGGTGAGGGGAAAGAGGAAGGGGGGGGGGGGTGACTTGCTGTTCTGCTGAGACCAATTCCACAAGAAAATGTGTGTTGCACACTTACTTAAAGTTAAAAGTGTCGAAATTTTTGATTTCCATCACTTTCCAAAGTACACAAATCAAAAAGAAATTGTGCTTTAAATCACATGTAATTTTACAGTGGGATACAATAATTAACACTTTCGTCTACCTGTTTTGAAATATTAATTCATTTACTTTTTTCGCGAAGAGGGTGGGGATGGCAAATGTACTCTTGCCCGCTCTGAAGGATGGTAAAAGTGATAGTTGTGAGGCCGGATAAAACAATGCGCGGAAGCAGAAAGTGGGGGGGGGGGGCTCAGGAGTTAGAGTGGCGGAGGGCGGAGGGGGAGGAAAAGGAGGAAACCAGCTGAGATACGGGCCACCAGGAGCATTGTACGGAAGGAGGGCGCTCGAAATGAAACGGGTTGAAAACACTGAGCGCGGCGCAGAGCGGAGCGGAGCAGGCGGGGTAGCACGGAGATAAGGGCATATATACACGTAAGAATGAACCACCAGCAGATATAATTCTGTTCCGGGGCAGGAGAATGACGTGAAGAAGAAGAAGAAGAAGAAGAAGAAGAAGAAGAAGAAGAAGAAGGGCAGTGACGACGTCGGCGGGAGGTTTGGAGAAGAATGTTGGCAAAGAGAAAGGGTTCCTTGGTGCTGCCGGATGATGCCACCCCTGATGTGTGTGTGTGTGTGTGAGAGAGAGAGAGAGTACAAGTTGCCCGGCTCTCCTTTCACGTTCTTCTTTTTCGCCGCTCTGGTTGTTTATTCCTCCCGGACGGCAGATGTTACATTCGCATAGAGGGGGGGGGGGGGGGATGGAGAGGGAGAGAGACACTGAACTACTCTACCCAAACTACCATCGCTGACACCGTGCTGTTTTCTTGTGGCCGGCAGGTTCTCGGACATCCCCAGCCCTTGGTGGCAGGCCACCACGGTGCTGTGCGGGGTCGGCGCCGCCCTCAGCCTCATGGTGGCCGTGACGGCGGTGGCGGCGTGCTGCATCAACTACGTGGTCCACAAGGGGTCGGCACGCCTCGCCGGCACCGCCCAGCTCATCGCCGGTGAGTATAGTCCGACAGCGTCAACTTGTTTGCGCGAAATCGAAATCAAAAGTGTTTGAGAGGCACCTTTACAAGGTGTTGAGGGTATAGAGTACTTTTCACAAATAAGACATTGAAACTGCCGAAGGCCTCTTATGTTTCGTTCTTCTCGAGGCCGTAAGTCACTGCCTTTCCAAAGGCAGCAAATTCGTCGTTTCTTTGGCACCCATGCAACTTCAATTTTTAATTTAAAGACAAATCCGGGACCGTATATTCATCTTTCACATGTGAAACTTTCACTGTTAAAACCTTACAAAGAAATGCTTTGTAATTCCAAACAAAATCGTTCGTAATTACGAAGGATGTGGATGCTTTGTAATACAAACGATTTTGTTCGTAGCTTGCGAAGCATTTCCAAAATGTTTTGTATTGCAAACAAAATCCTTTGTATTACAAAACATCCAAATCCTTTGCAAGCTTACCAACAAATTTGTTTGTAGGAATTCAACAGTGCAAATTTGATTCATTTTGTTAGCCTGTGTTTTTTATAGAGGGTGGGTACTTTCTCGTGTGAGGGCTGCATGTGTAGGTGCAGGGGGGGGGGGGGGGGGTATGGCAACAAAGTGTCGGTCGGGAGCGGCTGCAATTGTATCACAATACCATCGGGGGAACCTACCCCTCCCTCCATCCCCTCCCAACTGTTCCCAGGTGCGCCCTTTTTGGCTGCTTCCGAACACTCTCTCCCTCTCTCCTCTTTCTCTCTGCTCGTCCTACCCCTGCAGATCTGCCGCAGCAGCAATCCGCTCAAAAAGAAAAGAGGAAGGCAAAATAATCTGAAAAAATACGCACAATTGGACGGCATTGCCAAACGCAAAGAGTCAGCGAGGCACAGGTGGGAATTAAATACGTCGAAAATAAAATGAGAATAACAAACGCGAGCTTCCTGTGTGAGCTCTGCCACTTCCGACAGTATTCGGGAGCGAACAGAGAAAGGGAGAGTGTTAGTCTTTCGTCGAACATTCTTTTAAATGCAAGTTCGTGGTTTACAATTTCACGTTAAGATTTCCCCAAAGCTGTGACTATATAAATTAATTTTGGATGTGCTCTTCTTTTTGTAGCTAATAAGCAATGGCAAATTTTCAAAACTTGCAAATTTGCAATTGCATGCCGCTATGAACAACTGCATTGGCTCGAAGGGGGGGAGGGTGGACGAGGTCAATCAAATCATAACCTAGTAGATACTTGTTTTACGTTTAACTTTTTATATATGTAATTCTGCTTCTTTTTTAAAAAAAATTACGTTTTCATTGTGTTCGTGCCGCCAGGATGGTTTCTCTATGAACATTTTGCTCAGAATTAATTTGCCCGGGCGTTGCCATGCGGGGCGGGGTGCGGCTTGACCCCGACGCCTCATCGCCCCATCGACATCGGCGCATTGTCCATTCAGTGTCCGAGCTTCCCGCCCATAACTCCCAGAACGGCTTTCAATATTTTTTGTGTGTTTTTTTTTAGGTTCGCCCGTCAGACAACAGAGTATTTTTTTACGCAGGCAGGAAATAAAAAGTGACGCTTCCTGCGCTTTGCCACATGGTTAAGGACTTCACATGTTGTGATTTCCAAACACTTTCTCGTCACGGTGCATCTTCAATTTTGAAAAAATCAAATAACTTGTAATACTACTGAATATGATCAATTTTTGATAACGAAAGAAGCGTTGCAAATTCTCCCTAAAATAAGTAAGAGTTGTGGGAACTTCTTTCAAAATGAATTCCTCGTGAAGTTCTGACTTTTTTTCACAGTGATCTAGGGGAGAGCTTCCAGGAACAGGGCTTTCAAAGACCTGGTCTACCCGCCCCCTCGGCGTTCTAGAATGTGCTCCCGGGCGCTTCTTTGGAGGCCGCTTGAGCTGTTCAGAGATAAAGAAAAATCTGCAGCAGCCAGGGAGCCAGGCAACCGCATCACGCATCATCCACATGTCCGTACTGAACTATCCCCCCCCCCCTTCCCCTCTCTCCCTCGCCCTCCCTCACTCCCTCTTCTCTCCTCTCTCCTCTCTGTCTCCCTCCATTCTCTGTCTACGTCTACAGTTCCGCTGCGAATCAAATCCCTCTTTGCTGTCAACTTTTCCAAGGTTCACCCCCTTCCCCCTATTCTCTCTCTCTCTCTCTCTCTCTCTCTTCCGAGACGAGCGTCAGTGGAATAATAAAAAGGCGGCAGGCGTTTGTTTTTAACGAGTTTGTGCCGCTCATAATTGGCCTTTGTGATGAGGGGGTTAGGGGAGGGGCTTGAGGTCGTAAGACACGAAGAAGTGCGTTGGGCTGGCTGCAGTGGCGGCGGCTGGGAGCTTAGGGTCCGGTGCGCGGCAAGGCAAAAGAGTGAGAGTGAGTTCGGAGGGGGGAGAGGGAGAGCGAGAGAGGCAAGCCGGCTTTACGGGGGAGAGCATGAGCGGGCCGCAAAAAGTTTTGCACTTCGCGATGTGTGAACGGCCGCGGGGCTGGCCGCGGGTCCGAACGGCTACTTTAATCCTTTTAGAGAGTCCCCCGGCCTAGTCTACATGGCCTTAGCGGCATCTCTCTCTCTCTCTCTCTCTCTCTCTCTCTCTCTCTCTCTCTCTCTCTCGCCCACTCTCCCTCCCACTCTCCCTATTAAGCCCCGTCAAGTCACATGGTCCTCTGGCCCACGAATGTGAAGTCCGATCGGACAGGCTTGTCTGAGAGGAAAGTGAAAGAGAGTGAGTGAAATTTATTTATTTTGAGACGACATAAAAAAAGGGCCGAAAAGTCAGACTTCGTTCCGAGACAGTCTGCTCTCCCATAGGTGAAGAATGTGTGATGAGAAATTGTAAAGTGAATTTGAATGTAACGAAAAGGTAATGTGATTGAGTAATACATGCATTGCATGCATAGGCTGGTTGAAGTAAAAGTCGTAGTTATAAGTAATATTGTGTGTAATAACGTTTTCGTAAAGTATCAAAAAAGACTACAAGGGAGAGAGAGAGGGGGTGAGAGGGACAGACGCAGTCGGCCAGAGGGTTTGGGGGGTCGCAACCTCCTGGCCGGCCCTGCCGGCGCAGCTTACCTGGGGATTACCCCCTTAACACGCCGCCCGGCCCCACCGGGACTTAATAACTCACCACACGAGATTTGCATATTTTCCATCTTGTCATCCGACTATCATCATGCCGTCCATCTACCCACCCATCTGTCCGTCCATCTACCCATTTGTCACACCGTCTGTCCAGCCACCCATTCCTCTGTATATCCATCTATCCGTCTACCCATCGCTTTCTAATATTAACCTGTCCATCCATTTTTCTATCCATCCTCTATCCATTGCTATTCATTGGTCCTTCTACCCTTTCATCCATATATCCATCCATTTGTCTATTCATCCATCTACCCGTCCATCCGTCTATCCAGTGATTTGTCTATCCATCTTGTCTATCTCTGTCTATCCGCGTCCACCGATTTTCCCAGCCATCGTATCCATCCATCTAAGATAGCCGGTAATAAAGCAGTTCTCGCAAGTAGTGCGCCAGCGACGGCGCCGCGGCAGTGCGAACGTGAACGTGAACGCCGATGTGAATGTGTATTCAGCCAGCTCCTGCTAATGCAATCGTCGCGGCAATCGGATTAGCGAACGCCGACTTAATCCCCCCCCCCCCTCCTCCCACCCTCGCGCCCCGTCGTCGCTCCGCGGCGGTGCGCAGTGTGAGGACGACGCACGCCCGACTTAAAGGGTGAACACTATTAACGCTCTAAAACGAACGCATTCTCCTCCTCGCCTACCCCCCCTTTCCACACCCCCTGTCTTCCGCAGCACTCTCGTGTTTCCATTCAAATACAGAGCGGGGAGACGTTAAACTCTGAATTTCCCTCTGTGTAAAAATGACATCTCCTTAATCTTTGTTATAAATCATGCACACCGGTACTGTCGGTGCCTTTCCCACTTGGTTATTCCCCAAGTTTTGATTTGTTTTTGTTTGTTTTGTTGTTGTTTTTTGTTTAAAGTAAAGCGGCTCGTTATCGGCGGCTGAGGTTGGTTAGCCCGCTCGCGGTGCGCGCTGAGGTGAGGTGAGGTTGGCCATGAATGCCATCAAGGTAGCGGGCCCCGCCACCGCCGCCCGGCGGCGCGCCCAGAGAGAACTTTGGCCCTTCTTTGTTTATTAACTTCCCTTATACCCCGACCATTTCTGTGCGGCCTCCCCCCACCACCACCTCAACCACGCCGCGCGAGCGTTTTACAAGGTGCTAACTTCATTCCCTCTAATTGCGCGTTAACCTATTCAGGCCTAAACGGAGTAACCCAAGCAACACGGATGGCGCTCGGTGTAGCGGAGCGGGGGGCTGCGGAAGTCGGAGGGGTGTCCCGGGGGGG